ATATATATATATATATATATATATATATATATATATGTAGACAAAAAGAATGACAAACTATAGAAAGATTGTGCAAACTTTTTAAAGAGAAGACTAAATTCCTATGAAGCAAAGAAAATTGGAACTCATTTATATAAAAGGAAATGATTAAAAAACAGTAAAAAATACAACTAAATACTGTAAATATTTGAGCAAACATCACATTTAAATGTATGAAAGAACCAAGAGATTTAGAGTGTTCTTACTTACCACTGTGACATATTTTTGTTCTGAACAGTAGACAGGACAATTGCTTAGTGGGATTAGCGTCACATGTCAATAAATAAATCACCACTTGGAGACAAAGGTAGGCAATGACTGTGAATGACAATTGTGGCGTACAGAATCCTATCAAGTCACCTCCATGTTTCCTCAAGGATGATTTCTCTAACTATGTTTCCTTGCAGCTACGCTGTTAATGTCGAACTAATGGAAGTCCTTCTAGTCTCTCCTATTATTCTCCTCTTTTTCCTGAATCTCTATAGAAAAATCAAAATCAGAGTCAACATTATCGACAATCCCTTCAGCCGTCAATGTTGACAAAATGCACGACAGGTGAGAAGTCCAACCCTCGTGATATAACCAGAGAGTTGAATCTGAGTTCTCGGAATGCTGCAGAATTTATTGTCTTTACGAAAGCTGATCATGTAGGCATCAGAAGAATTTAGATGTTACTGCTTTCGTTGATATCGTCTGTAAAGTCCTGAAAGTGATACAAGAAAGTTAACGTCGGACTGGACTTGCAGCAGCAGCACAACATGACACATCTCATCGATTTTCTCATGAGATGTGAACATGAAGGATTGTGTGCAAGATGTAAACTTCTTTGAGGCATGACTTTGGATACATATTTTTTATCCTGTTGAAGGCAAGCTGGATGTATTCCCAGTGCCCACGAGCACAATTTAACCCTAAAAATCAATCCATACCCGTTTGATATGACAGGGAACAGTGATAGACACGACTTCCCACCACATCGTGGTACGAAGCAAGCACTAAGTGCTGCAACTCCTGCTTAGGCTTCATGAGGCCCCTTCTCGAGTGACGCCGACGGTGGTGTGATTCCGATGACGATGCCTCGTTCCAGAGGCTTCTCTCAGGCATAGGGTGGTGGGCTGAGCCAAAAGTGACACGAGGCTGGTGATGTTGTTGCCGGAACGTGCTGTTTCCAGGACGTTGGTCCATCTCTCCACCGGAGACAGACCCACCCTCACTATTCCATTGTCCACATATCTCGGAGTCATGCACGTCATGTACTGTCCGTCAAAGCGTACGCACCCTTTCCCCCCTCCCCCCTACCTGTGACCCCTCGGATCTCCAAGGGCGGCTGACGGAAGACCACGTTGACCTGCGGCACCACAAACCGCGGACACATGGCGATCCCAAACACACCTCATACGACGTGGGGACGACGTGTCGAGAATGGTGTCACATGGCTACAACACTCGCTATCTGATGGCAGCGGAACAGCCCACAGATGAAAAGAACTCCCCCTTTGATTGAATTAAATCTGTCGGGACGCTTTATACAATGAGACAAAGAGGAGCCTCACCCTCTCCTTTGACGGGATTTGCACTTAGGGCCAATGTAGAAGCTAAGCTAACTGGATTGCTTGCAGCGAGCAACGTCATTCTCCTGCTTCGTAGCTGCCGGAGGCTCTCCACAACCTGGCAGGAAGGCCATGCTTCGGCACATGGAATGGGCAGTACTCGATCTCACCTTGGTGTCCCAGAGTCTCCCACCTGCATCCCAATAGAACGAAGTGACTTAAAGCCGTGAAGGCAGTTCATCACCGTACATGAAACCAAATGTACAGTTTTGGAGTTGCTGTGGATACTTGGCCTCATGCTAACCTGTATTTGGTCACCAGATGATGGATCAAAATAAGCATTTCCAGTTTGGCCATTTCATTGCCGGGGCAAGCGTGAACTCCGTTCCCAAATGGCAAGAAGGTATTGGGCTTGGGAGCAACCTGCGCTTTGCCATAAGAAAGAGTTCATTCATATTGGTGTAGAATGTTGATAGATGGGAGAATCTATCCATTATTCCCTAAGAAAACATATTTATTATACGATAGTTACTGAGATTTTGAATTCATAACAACGTACCTGAGACGGCATTTAGAGTTTATAGACATATTTACTCCTGTAAGATGGCAATAGATGCGTTGAAAGGAACTATACACAGTGACCTATTATGTCTCAGCCCCATACCTCGAATCTAGAAGGGTCGAACATGTTGGGTTCTTGAAAGAAGTCCGGATTGTGATGTATGTTCCTGAACAAAGGCATCACCTTCCAGCCCTTTGGGATAAGGTATCCTGCATTCCATAACCATTTGCTTCAATGCTTGAAGAGTTATAAGCAAGTAAGTAACCGTTTGCTTTTCTACCTTTGTACTCCACATCGGCCACTGCCTCCCTGAACGTGAAAGAGATGACGCTTGCCATCCTCAAGCTCTCCGATATGACCTGAAGGTACACCGCTCGCCGTGGTCGATCATAAGCGCACACAAAAACTAGAAAAGAGAGTCATCCACTTCCGTGACGTGTGTGAAGGAGAGAGGTCCAGAGGTCCACAGTACCTTGTGAGTCAGGGACATGCTTCTCGTTTGGGCCCACGTCAAGGGTCGACTTCCAAACTCGTTCGCCTCCCGTATCGCCGTTTGCTCGGCCTACATGACAACGATGGCAAGGTCTGATCAGGGTCCCCCCTGTTACCGGTTAATTCTCGGCTAGGTAGCAAACCAAACGTTCAGCATCCATACTCTGACGGATTCAAGAAGCTTTGGTTCGTCGTGGAGGAACTTTAGGACCCATGTCATGACACTGGCCGTCGTGTGCTGTGCGGCAAATAGGACGCCGATGATGTTGTCGGCGATCTGGTCATCGTTCAGGTGCTCTCCGCTGTCATCCTTAGAGTCGATGAGACAGCCCAACAGATCATTCTCCCGCACTCCTCTCTTCCTTCTCTCGTTCATGATCTCACTCAGTACACCGTGCAAACGTTTCCTTGCCTTAGTACAAACATGATTCGGATGAAGATGGTGTAGATAAAAGCCAGAGAAGAGCCGGTAAGGATGATATGAGGTGGATCTTTGCTTACTACGATTGCTTTGTGGTACGGAGTGCCGGGAAGGTACATGGGGAAAGAATTGTAGCCCTTGTCAACGATCAAGTAATTCTTCTTCAGCTCTACTTTGTGCCGCTCCTCCAGCCGGTCCCCAAAGATCGCAAGGACACCCACATCGAAAGATAGCTACACAGAAGCAAAAAGACGAAACGATCAATGACGAGATATTTGTTTATATACTGTTGCAAACATCATCGATCACAGGCCAAAATCTACCAACCTTCTCCATTGCATGGAAGGTTCTGGCTTCCAAACCAACCCATGATTCCAACATGGAGATTACTATGCGTTCGATGTCGGGGACGAGCCCGTGAAGCGCATTCGGGGACAACAAGCCCTGTACAAGCTTCCTCAGCCGCATATGGTAGCTGCCATGGTGGAAGAAGAGCGCCCAGGGGCCGATCAACCGCTCCTTGCTCCTCGGGTACGTCGGCTTGAACAGATGAGCCTGTGTCACCAGCACGAACCTGGCCGCCTCCGGGCTGGCCAGGATCACGCAGGGGCAGCCCAAGACGTGCGTCTTAAAGATCTCTCCGTACCTGCAACACACCCCTAACGAGCCTCATTCACCAAGTAAAACCTTCAAACTCATACAAACTAACACGAGCGCAACGAAACCTCTTCTGCCTGTTGGCGAAGAACACACTGGGGTCTTCTGAGTAGAGCTGAAGGGTCTCTCCTACGTAAGGCCACCCCATGGAACCAGGTGGGACTTTATACTTGTCCTCGGGTCTCGTCTTTCGCCTTCTCATGAAGAGAGAGGTCGAAAGGACCAAGAGAAGGAAGGCGTACAAAATACCAAATTGCATCCCCATCCCGCCGACCCTTGTTTCCCTTCGTTGGCCGGAGCAGGGAAAGGGAAGCAGGACTAGTGGGGATCTTCTACTGGTGGGATATGCCAAACCAATGATGGGTTTATATAGACGTGGAGGAACCCAAACCGGGATGGAGACTCTTTTTTACGTTCACTTGGGATGAAGCTCTGTAACTGCGCCACGTCATGTTACCATATCTAGCTTACTAGATTCATGCGCAACACGTGGCTTTCATGCTCAAGGTTAACCCACGTTAAAAAAATGGGGTCCTTGTCCCCATAAGTCACCATTTACGGTCCTCCACCGGCATCAAGACACACGTGGCTCTCTGAAAACACTCGTTATGACTGATACAGTACGCAAACGCGAATTCTATTCCGGTTACCCTGCGCGCGTCTCACACGTAATTTTCGTTATAAATGTGGTATATAAAAGAACATAGCAGTCCCCGTTATGACGGACCCGAAACCGACATGAGGGATCGCGCCGACGGGGTCACATCTTGTGAGCGTAGGTACTGCGAAATCCACGTGTGATGGACCCGAACGAGGGCGCGGTGCAGTCCAGCTGGAGGTGGACCACCCTCTGGCGTCGACATCGAGACAGCTTTTAGCGAACACGTGTCAAGTCTTCCCGTCGGCGAGTTGATCGCTCTGAACACTTCCGTTTCCCTGCAGCGGAACCCGTCGCATCCCGGCTTGTTGCCGTCTCCAAGCCGCTCTTGTCATCCTGCAAACCAAATGCAGAGGTGAAGGAAGAGTCTTCCTTTTCATGGCCACGGTAGCACGTTTTACCTGGAAGAAACGAGTGGCTAGCGCCATGAAACTACTACTCGAAGGGGCTGGTGGAGAAATCCTATAACCTCAACGTGGCCAAGAACAACCGGTCAGAGCTGAGGGCAACCCACTACGTTGAAATGATCGACTCTCATCACATTTATGCCACGTTTTCCTTTTCTCTAAAGTTGCCTACCAGGATTCATCAAAGATAGGGATGAAACAGTATCATAGGAAAAAGAAAGATCATCCCTTATACTAAGATTATTTTAATATTTAGAGTTAAAAAAATTATATTGATAATTTTATAGTTATAAAAATAAGATATTTAATATTATTTATCCTAATACTGTTAATTTTACTGACGAAAGATATTATTTATATATATATAATTATCAATTTTACCAATGATAAAATGATCATTTCAGATGTTATCAGTGACTCTTCATATATATATATATATATATATATATATATATATATATATATATATATTTGTGTGTGTATTAATATTAAGAATCTTCCATGGGACAACTTTGATTCTTGTAATACAAACAATGGTACTCCAACATGCCTAACTTGGATGTGCCTAATTTATTGGTTAATTACTGATCTGAGTTGCTATCATCTTCAATTTTGATATTCCAGTTCTTTTATGTAGTACTGTTTGATGTGATGAATTGGTGATGACAATGAAGTCGGAGAAGTTAAATGTTTGTGATTCTTGTAGGATTTCATTACCTAAACGATGAGATCTACCTTCATTGGTCTGATCAAAATAGATTCTTCATCCGTATATTTCTGTATAGTACGGTCTCAAAGAATAGATTCCTTACTCTAATACACACATATATGGTATATCATGCCATCTTTATACTTGCGTTTCATGTATTTGCACAAAATAGATTCCATGTGTTTTTGAACATTTGATCAGGTGATTGATTCTTAGCTGACTTGGCGTACAAAATCCACCAAAGATGTTCCTAAATACAATATATCCAGTGATTCTTATTTCCTCTTTGCATGCAGTATATCTAATAACTCGATCGATCCAACTGCTATGACCGACTCAAAAGCCTCCAAACAAAATTCCTCTTTACAATTCCAAACTGTCTCCAAGTGGAAGTATGGTGAATCGAGGGACTCAGAGACTTGCGTTCCTTTCAGCCTTGTCTTGCTTTGGCAGCACATACACACAGATCCTGCCGTTGTTTTCATATGATCCTTATGGTAGATTCCTCTCCTGCAATTTCAGCAACATATTTCAAGCTGGCTTTGGTTTCTTCTTCTGACCAAAGTGAATAACCTACTCCTCGTGAGAATCACCACCCATCTGATCCCAGAAAACCAAGCTGATGATGTCTCTTTGCCTTGCATGGCTGAGATCCGTGCACGACTGACCTAATTTTGTGGTCTGGGCAGCCAAAATCCACCGTATCATCCGACAGAGATGAATGCATCTGATTTGAACGGCGCAGAAGTGTGGAACTCGAACTACGGGCCAAAGATTCTTTGCCAAAAGTGGGAACAGAACGCATTTGCTGGATCATTACAGCCACCATGAACAATGGAGCCCTCATGTTCTTGTGATGAACCCCTGTGCTTCGTATTCATGCACATGAAATAACATGGTCCCCCGTTATAATGTCTAGCGGAGAAAAAGGGGACCTGGAAAGGATAGGAACAAGGAACAGTTTGGAAGCACCACCACAGAAATGGACTCAAAGGCCAAATGAGGACAGTCCCATGAATGATTCAGCAGAAACAAGTACATAAATTTTAGGTAGGTCGCCAGTCAAAGTGAGTGAGGATCATAATCAAAGACCGAAGAGTGAATGACTGCTAGTGGATCGAGTGGAAATCCAAGATCAGACATGCCGTGGACCATGTCGTCCATAGCATTAATTGCATCTGGATATGGTGTTTGGCACCTCCTCAGAACTCACGCATGAGGTGGTCATGAACCTGTCTAATGCCCGATGACTGGTACTGAACTACTAGAATGATAGCAGCAGGCGGAGGGGCTATACCACACTACTAAAACCGTGAAGTGGATACCACATTGCATGGTATGCAATTGAGTGCAGTTAGGCTTCAGTGTCCTTTTGGGTTGAGTTCGCATCAAACTCGCGTGGTCTTTTGTCAGCGTAGTGGAGAACATCGATGACGACCAACACCGAGAAGGATGGATATCATTCTCTCTCTCTCTCTCTCTCCCCTTTTGTTGTCTGTGTCGGTGTTGGTGTTGGTAATCTGCACCAGCTCACTCAGCCTTGGAGCTACATGGCATGAGGACAAACTAAACTCATGTTTCCCAACAACATTGCTCGTGTAAAGTAACTATGCTTCTGCCGAATCCATTTGCGAGACAGCAGAATGATGAACAGGAGAATTTTGTTGTGCGAGTAAGATCCCGAATCCGACTGCATGTGAAACTGCATCAAAGGTGGGACTCCTTCCTGGAATGTTAGGTACGATGCTTCAAGTTGAGTCATCAAACAGTTCAAACTTTGAAGTGCTCAGTTGCCATGATATGATGCTTCAGCTTCTGAAGCGCCATTAGTATTCACTAACTCTTAGATAGTATAGTAAATTTGATGATGGTGATGGCATGACAGACTGAAGGCACTTGATTGCACATCCTTCATCTGTGAGATCCTTCTTATGTTCGAGGAGTAAACCATAGCAGTAAAGCATTAAACATCATCTTCAATTTTTAAGCGATAAAGATGTGTTGTAATCCTGATTTCAAGATTTATTTTTATATGGAGAAACAAGAGTCATTTGGTCATCATCTCCTGTTGAGCAAAATGAAATGCCACATAAGCAATGCATTTAGGTCATTTTAACATCACCTGGCGTGATAATTATCTTTCAAATCTTTGCTTTAAATCATGGAAAGTCAACATTATCTTTCGAGATCACTCCCTTTTTGTCCATCTGGTGAAACAACAAGGGCGCGATCGATTGTGCCTCAAACACTAGTAGGAAAGGTTCAAAGAAGGCCAAAGGCAAAGGAGACGTGGTGGAAGAGAAGCCACACATGTAGTAGTAGTATCTCCCAAACTGCTCTCGCGTGATGTAGCATCTCCACTAAGAACGGTTTCAAAGTTGACTTACAAGCGAATCATGTCATCTCCCTCCGAAAGCACCACTGTGGACTCACAGGCCATGGGACCAAATCCATACTGGATTCCATGTCCAAAACCTCGTGCCCAGGTGTCCCAACATCGACGTGCCGAATCCGAGCCTGATCGACCCACGGAATCCACCACCATCCAACCCCACTGTCCGGCGAGGGAATCATGGATCTGGGACAACGGGGCGCCCACTTTTGGCACATACGGCGGGCGCTCACCGCACCAAAAAGCGTGTCTTGCTAATGATCTATCTATTGGATCTCGCTGTACTCGACATGGATTTTTCTTGTGCCAATCCCATGGCCTTAGATCGAGTCTCTTGGGAAAAGGAGTTGTCGTCCGCGTCAGTGAGTGGGTGACCGATTTCAGTGGGGATCGGCACTCCGTAGGGCGTGGCAAGCTACTAAAGGGGATGGGGGTGGGCGGGGACGAGAGATGGACACGAGCACGAGGAGGGCAAAGGCCTCACGAAATGTGCTGCATTTGGTCCAGTTGGCCTCCTTGTTTGATGTCATGCGATGGGCTTCGGCATTACACCTTCTCTATCTTTTATGGATTCGACTCATATCGTTTTATGCGAAGCTCAATAATCAATTCCAATATTATATATATAATAATAATAATAATTTCACTAGTTATGATTTAGAAACAATATTATAAATATTGGAATTAATTTACTTTTATTATGTATTATTGAGCTTCATTAATATATAATACTTGATATGGTTCACATGTGTAATAATTATTATTATTAAGATTAATATTATCATGGTGATGTGAAGTTGCATAATAATTAATGATCAAATAAAAGTATTTTTGCTAGTCCCAAATGAAAATATTGTCAATATTATTTTAAACTAGTTTCGTGATGAATGAAAGCATTAAGTATAAGATATTAAAGATTCCATGAAATATAATGAATATGGAACCCTTATCTAGTCTATGTATGAGCCTACGACTCGATTAAGGTTTAAAGATTGTGTAAGTTTCATAAGTCATAAACTAAAAGATACCAATTGTTTGTAAGTGTATTTATTAATTCAAGGAATCCCATATGTTCTTGAACAATCATGAATTAAAGTAATTTTATATTTTTGAACAATCTTGATTTGTTCTTGAATAATCATGTTTCGGAATAAAATC